CGCTGCTGGGCAGGGAGCAAGGCTGCTGGTGGCATCTGTCCCAGGGCTGGGAGGGTGAAGGGGACCTGGGAGTGAAGGCGACCCGGAGGGCTCAGCTCATGATGGAGGCACCAGCTTGCTTGTTCTCAAGCCAAGAACAAGAGGGGTTGGGTGCCAGCACCGACTACGTGGGGAGCTGGAAAATGCATTCCCAGCACCGTCCCTGGGGGATTTCTCTGGCTGGCATGGGGTAGAACCTCCTGCGGGTCGGGATTTGGTGGCCACTGCCCCCAACCCATGTGGCCAAAGGGACTTAAGCCCTTGGGATCTGCTCCCCTCCTCCTCCTCCCTCTTTTCTCTCTTGATGCCCAACATTGCATTAACGCACAGAGCCGTGAAAACCCTCCGGCTGTGCTGCGTGACCGCGACAGCAGGTGCTCACCGGGTTGTGCCAGCTCCCCTGGGAGCTGCGTCACCTTGCTCGGGGGACGCCAGGTCAGTCCCTCCACCCATGCGGAGAGCTGGTGGGGAGTGGGGCTGGAGTTTAAACGTGCTGCAAACCTGCCTCACCAGGAGGCACAGAGGTCCTTGCCGAAGGTGGCCTGGGATGTGACGGGAACAATTGAGGCAGGCGTTTGGACCAGGGGTGTAAGAGCAGGGCCATGCAACAGCACCATGTCCTCTTGCACGCCTGAACCATGCAGTTTACCTCCAATTTCTGTGCTTCTGGCTTTGTGGGCTAGCCATTCCCCGGGGCTGGAGGAGGAGGAGGGTGTCCGGGGGCTCACCCGCCCCAGCGCGTTCCCATCCCTGGCTCTCCAGAGCAGCTGGTGTCTTGAGCTCGTTGCCGGCTGCCCTGGGAGGAAAACAAACGGTGTCTCCAGCTCACCAGTGGGATGGAAAGTTTTGCTGGCTGGGACTGGACCGCCCAGCTGGCATTCTCCCAGCGCAGCAGCTATTAAATACCTCCGAGAGGCTCTTGCCTTCCGTGCCCGCTCTTTGCTGGTGTCTCGCTTCCCGAGAGCTTTGCCTGGCAGCATTGGGTGAAACCTCCCTGCCTGTCCTGCATGGTTTCCCTGCCATGGGGCACGGTGTGTGGCTGCAAACGGTGGCTTTTTCTTCTCCTGTTGCCCTGTACCAGTAGCTGGTCTGTGTTCCCAGTGGCCAGATGCCAGCAGCCCTGCCCCACTGGGGACCTGTTGAGCTCAGCTTTCCGTCCTCCGGGGAGGCTCCTACAGCCCTTGCATGTTTTCTCTTGCATGGATTTTCATTGCAGCTTCTCTCTCCCCAAGGCAAGGCAGGAGGAGTTCAGCTGTGCTTCGGGGCTCCTGTGCATGAAGGACAGAGGAGGAGGAAGAGGAAGGCTGTGGGGGTTTGCCATTGCGACGCGCTGCGCGCGGGGGGGGCCCCCTGCCACTCGTATGAGGTAGGAACGCTGTGGTGGGCACTGGCTGAATAACCAGGAGGAATTTGGTGGCTGGTTGCTCCCAGCTTTGATGCTTGATGGCAGCAAAGGGTGAGGCCGCAGCTGAGCTGCCAGCAGCACCCAAGGGTGCTGCTTTGTAGAGGAGGGGGTCCCAGCACACATTTTAATGCAGGAGCAGCAGGCTGTCACCCGGTCCCAGAACCAGTGGAGAGGAGCGATGGGATCTGGAGTCCTATGTCCCCAGGGAGCCGCTCCTGGAATCCGGCGTCCCTGGGGAGCTGGTCCTGTGGGGACCCCTCACTCCTGCAGCTGGGCTTCTGGTGGA